CATCTCATCTCATCTCATCTCATCTCATCCAATCTCATCTCATCTCATCTATCTCAACTTCAAGAAAGCCACACTAATGCCACTCAGCCTGGGATTCAATGATGAATCCAAGCTCCCTTTTGCATCTCTGAAGCAGCACTGTATCATCATTTATGATCAAACTCTTGGCGTTCATAACAGGATTCGGAGATGAGCCCACACATTCTCTTCCACTCAACAATGATTCCTTTGCGCAGTGTTCAAGCGTCTGTATACCTTTACTCGAAGCTGAAGGCTCTGTTGCTTCATGATCTAACTATTTCCAAGTTATAGAACCCGAGTGGACGTATTTAAAGTCCCTTCCGCCTCCTCCATATTTGTCTGGTCCCGTATTGTCATTGAGCAGTCACGTTCCCAAAGCCATACGTAGCAAGATGCACAACTCTTGTGAGCTAAGCGATGAGTCAATCTACCTCGGCATCTCGGCTTCTCTCGTTGAAGAGGCTACTGGTCTTCCGGATCATCCCGACTCGGTCGACAACCACTACAAGGCCGTATTGGATATGCGAGTGTGCATCTGTCCTAGTCTCCAAGTAAGTAGGGCCAAGCAAGATGAGGTCGAAATTGCAGTCCATACTGGATGAAAATACTTTTTGGGAAAGCGAGGCAATGTGAATTTAAATGCAAACGTCTTGTCTACTCATATCACTGTGGGAGACTTCAACTACCAGTTCTTCATCACCTTAAACGAAACAGGCTGAGCACAGCACATATTTAATTTAGTGGTAGTCTTGAAAACCTACTCTAAACGAAAAATAATGCCGAATAAGTCACGCAAAGAAGGCATAAAGACGAGCGGCCAAGCTTCTTCTCCTCCATCTGCATACAGCTGAGTCTTTCCCCGTCTTGCCAACACTTAAACATGGCCCTGAGTGTAATAAATGTGGCTGCTCTGATTTTCTACAATTCGTGGCTAGCAGATACCGACAATTTTTGCAACATGCCCCCTTTTACACCATTTCTCCATTCCAACAGGGCCTCTCACAACTGACTATCTGGACGTCTACTTGGCCCGACTACACATTCTCTTGCCTTGGTCTACTCGTCTCATTTGCATAGTCAGACGCATTAAGTTGCATTGTTTCGCGCCTGCCTCGGCTACGTCCCATACCATCTTCCTCATCGCTGAGGCCGTTACTCACCTCTCTTTCTATCGCTCTCTCGCGCTTTCTCGCTCTCTCGCTCTCACTCTCTGCTCATTTTGTCTATCATGGCCATTGACTGTTGGGACGCCTTTGGCTCATGTCCACTTGTTAACGCTCTATTGAAAGACAAGTCTGGCTTTACCAGGTAGATTGGAAAAACAAAAATAAATGCCGGATACAAAGTTGCCTCAATGGGAGAGGGTGAAAATAGGATTTTAAGTGCATGCTTATTGATGCGCTCGATCCCAACGTCAACGTCAACATCAACTCCAACGTCAACACCAGCGTCACCCTCATTTCGTGTCACACTTACGTCGATAATAGCCTAGCCTCGAGCCTGCCTCGGGATACCTGTTGGATTAGACGAAGCCACAATACCCTAGCCAGTGGTTGACCTGACGGCTGCTTGACCGCAGTTTGAGAGCTAACTGTACTGAAAAAGAATGCCGTTCACGAGGATTGTCTGAAAAGAGCTGATGAAGGGGACAAGGAGTGAGATGAGTCGAGTGGGCAGATACAGGTGAGTAAACAAAAGGATACAGCAGACTGAGTAATAAACTGCCTTACGCAGAAGCACTGAGGAAGCGTCGGGAACTCAAATTGTGAGCAGATGATGGAGTAGGCATTGAAGATTAGGCATCAAGGCCCAGCAAATGTATGAACGAAGAGAAGATGATAGAGTATAATGAAACTAAAATGTGAAGATAGCCAAACGATTTCCTGCCAAAAACAATGTCCCTCAAAAGTGAACGACACAGACGAATTTAGGAAAGTAAGAAATTTTTAAGAACTAAAAATTCTACGTTTGTATATTCTATATTTTATCATATGGCGAAGGTATATTAATGGCCAGTCAAACAGGTGAGATACATTGTCTTATTTCGAACACAGGGTGGGTAATTTACAAAACATCTGTGGCAAAATCTACGTTTTCACTAACGGACGATAAGGGATACCGGGAAACGATATTTTGCTGTCAGTGAACATACAATTAAGTACTTCAATGACTTATGATAGAATACTTAAGGTGGTTCACGTTATGCAGATTATGCTGAGCAAGTTGGAAAGTATAAGCGAGGTTGAAATGGACAATAAGTTGGCAGCAGATGAAATGACGAGCCTTTAAAAAAAACTTTTCCGACAGCTAAAAGCATGTAAATTACATTGATCGGTGTAACAACATGAAAAGAGAAAAAAAGTCAAAAAATTCTAAAAACTTGGACAGAAAAAGTACTTGAAGAAACTTTCAAAAAGGCTCAAAACAAATTGAGAAGAATTCAAATTAAATCGTGATAATGGATCACTAAATTTTAGATTGCAGGTAAAAAAACAGAAACCTTAGGAAGGAAGAATTAAGGCAATAAGTGAAAATATGAGACTAAAGGGGAAGGGTGGAGAGGATGGAGAATAAAGAGGTGGAAGGAAAGAAATCAGACGAGACAAGAGGATAGAGGACCATATGATTCGAGATGAATTAAAATTATAGCACAAGGGTCAGAGAAGCTATTATGGTCTTAATTAAGACTAGGGGTTAGGACAGTAGATATATGAGCAATAAAATATTGTGTGCCCAGATATATGGGGTCTGTATACCACTTAATTACTGTTTCTTCTATTTTTCATATCCCCATAAGTATTCACACTGCCTATTCTGGTCTATCACAGCCATAATCATCATTCCTTTATTACTTTGCTACTCATACTCTACTTTCTCACTCGATTAATTTCATTTCACTGCCTTTATGTGTTGTATATTACTCCTTCGCTATTTGGTATACCTTAAACATCCAAGGCTATGTAATCATGACTTATAGTTATTTTGCACCTTTGTCTACCAAAAAGGCTATTCTTATTTCAGGTGACAACGTGAGACAACTTATTTTCTTAAATCAATTCAGGCTCATTTTGACTAATGCTCGATTCGACTGAGAGCCAGGAAATTCACGATTAATTAATGTCTAATGTATGCGGTGAATTTCACTGAGACATGCGTACCAAAGACTGCCATTTCGACCTCGCCTCGACTCATCAGTTCTCTCAGCGAGATCCCATCTGGGTATTCGTTTTGAGTACGATTTAAAGACGATCAGCAGATCTTGAATATGGGCTTTTGGTGATGAAGGACTAAGAGTGAATTTTCCCACAATCATATAAGTAGACATTACGCTCTATCTTAACTTCACCAAGCCTTTGTACCCAAAAGATATTCCCATAACGTCTGGACTGGACTGCAGATTCG